GTGACGCATAGTGTCCCCCTGTGGGTTTCTGAGACTGTAACTGTTTATGGGAGTGGAAAGCCCAGTCTTTCTCCCTGTATGGACAATGGTCCCTATTCAATATGAATGCTACATATTTCTACATTTAAAACAATTGTTATAAGTATACACTAATGCTGGCTCTTATTCTCAAGTGATATCACAATATTTCAAAATACCTCAGTATAAAGGTGTGCCTGGAATTCCTTTCAAATAGGGGTTTCTCTGGACAGGAGAGCTCTCTGGTTTCTGAAAGTCCAGTTTCACCATACAAAACAATGTAAACCTCATAAAACAAAGACACGGGGGGAAAGATCAAGATTGTTGTCAAAACAAGCTAGAACATGCTGGATGGGGACTTCCTTATATTCTCTCCCAATTTCCCCCTGGATGTCCACCCTCCTGGGCACAGTGTGCCAGAGCTTGGGCTTGAGGACCCGGTGTGGCATGGCAGAGAGTAGGGCGGGTACAGCGGTCCCTAGTAGTGTGGGGTGGATTTTCACACATTCGATACGGAAAAGCGAGGCCTACACCAGAAATCTCTAGGACATTGTTTCTCCTCTCCCCTCGAGAATCTAACTGTGGCCATGGATACGCCTCCTCTCTTCAGTAGAGGGAGGGGTCCTGGAGGGGTCTGTCAGGACCCCAGAGGGCAGGGTAGGTGCCCTGTCAATCTCTAAACGCACATTCTCATTCTTGAGCTGGGCATGGAACTCCTTACTGTGCATTGTTAGACAAAGACATTTTCAGCTCTGATGTTATTTATCAATCTCTCATGTAAGAAAAAAAAAATCCCCCAAACAAACCCATTACCACTAAGTCCATTTCAACTCATAGCTACCCTATAGGATAGAGCCTAATTGTGCCTTTGGGTTCCTAAGGGTTTTAAATATTTACAATAATCAGCTTTATCTTTCTCCCTTGGAGTGACGAGTGGGTTCGAACCGCTGACCTCAGCCATTCAATGTATAACCCCCTCTGCCACCAGAGCTCCTGCTACATAGAAAGCTATTTAATAATTCCTTGATTTTGACATCTTTTCCTATGATAAATTATGCGGGCAATGTCTGAATTACAAACAAGTGTTGTTCCAAAATCAGTCTTTAAATCAAATATGTATGTAAATTGGAGCCGTGAGGTGTGGTTTGCATCTAATGTCAGTCAAATGTTTGTTTTAGTATGTTTTATAAGTACCTTTCTATGTAAAAAAATTAAGGAAACACTTCCAGATACACTAAAATATTAATAACATAGCACAGTGATAATTAATAGCATAATGTTTTGATGTGGATCACAAAGTAATGCTCATTTGTTATCACAACTATTGCATGTACCTCAAATTTTAACACTACAGACTTTACAGGGTTGGTTTGTGGCAGCAAGTTATGTGTAAGTCAGATGTTTGTGACCTGGGGACTGCTTGAATATTGTCTTTCAATCGTTTTTCAATTTTGTTTTTCACAGTTAATTCTCTCACCTCTTAAGTTTATCATTGGATATAATAAGAAGTGAAGATCTAGTGTTACCTTACAAGTGAAGTTTTTCTCAAAACTTTAGCCTGTCATTCCTCTCAGGTCTTGAAGATTTTCTTGAAGATTTCCACGCCTTGGTGCTGGGTTGTTCCACGAATCTAGTGATTAGGCCCTAACAGGACTACACTACTAGCTAATTACTATCACTTCACAGGGAGCGGGAACACTTGGTCAGGGAAGGGCCTGCCTTGTTCTTCTCATGAGAAGAACTTTATTTTTCCAGTGAATTTTAAAATTAGGCTAGCAGCCAAGATTCAAGGTCCAATTGGTTGCTGATGTTAAATGGAGACACCTTCAATGTATGCATCTTATCCACACACTGAACAATTCTGTTAGAGTCAAATCAAGGCTTCCAAATGTCCTTCCTCATATGGCTGTCCACACCCTGTAGATGTATTTTTCAGTACACCCATAGTTACCTTTGCAGTCAGCTGGGATGGAGCACGGAAGCCTGTGTCAATAACAACTGCATAGAGCTGTTGGTCTGGCGAGGAGCTACCTTGCAGAAAAATGTAACCGGATTTCTTTCTTTCATGATGATCTGTATGCATGCTTTTAGTAACCAAAAATGCATAAAGAATCATAAAAAGCACAATAAAAACACTTGGAATCAGGTTTTCTGGGTGTCTGTAAATAAAAGGAGAGAAATAAAAATTAAATTACCCATGAAAATAAACATTTATGAGTAAAACTGACTTAATGTTCACCTTGTCACCTCCCTGACTCCCCTCCCCACCCCCACCCCCTGCCGCCACACACACACACACACATACATAAGTCTCCCTTTGGTCCTTTGTTTGGAAATCTTACTGTGTGGGGGAGAGGAAAGCGGGTGGGAGATGGGGAGCTTTTTGTTGGGGCTAGGGCTAGGAAGAGAAAAATGTAGAGGATGGAATGCTATCTACCCCACTCTGGGCATGTTGGACTGGTTTTGAGCCCTTTAGGCCAGACGTGCCAGAGACTGAATCAAAAAGGCGTTTGAAGGCACAGAGAGTCCCTATGGTCCAGTGACCAGCACCCAGGAGCACGGACTCTGAACTCAAAGGAAGCTTTTAATTGGTCCAGCTTCTGCATGTGAAAGCCATGATGTTCTAGGAAAATCTCTGTCTCTCTGAAGAACATTCTTTCTGAACGATGAAAAATATGAGGTCAGTAGGCTATAGTTAAGTAGTGTTCCATATATAAAATGCTGAAGAGAAGTTTGACTTCTCTCTGTCCTTTTCCTCTCAGCAGCAAATGCTGTCCGATGCCACTGGTACCCAGCCTCTGCCCCCCACCTGCCTTTACAGATATGGTTGCTTGCTTTCTCTCGGCAGGCTTGTGTTAGTCTGGGTACTTTAGAGAAACAAATCCACAGAAACTTAGGTATAAGAGAGAGTTTTATATAAAGGGTAAGTGCGCGTTAAGAAAACCTCCCAAACTGCCCAAGCCCACAAGTCCAACATTAACCCATATGTCCGACACCAATCCACAAAGTTCTCCTCCATCTCACAAAACACACGTAATGATGCTGACTGCAGGAGGAAAGCTGAATCTGTGAATGTGGAAGCATCTCAGTGCTGACAGGGGTCTCCACACGGATGCTCCAGCACCCAGGGCTGCATCGGGGTAGGTCCATGTGGCTTTTCCTCAGGGATGTCCTGCAGGAAGTGAGTCTTGCCAGCTGAAGCAGGGAACTGGCTAAGGCAGCTGCACCCTGATCCGAACATCACAAAGCAAGAGACCCGAGAACTTGAAAAGCAAGCTTCACTGAGCCATTTATCTCTCCAACTTTCAATTAACCCCACATGTGTTTATCGGCCAGGTTGGCACAATAAACTTTAACTAACTCAAGGCTATATTTCTTGTTTGTAGGAAGGGAGATCACTACAGCTATGCAGACCCACAGAGTGGGGTGCCCTCAAGACCACTGTGCTGCTACACTACCCCTCCTCTGCTGTCCTGCCTAGAGTTACGTCATGTGAACGTTTGGTGGTATTTTAAAGGGTAGGCATTGGGGCCACATTGTTGAGGAAGGTATCCTTTTAGTCCACAGGACACATTGACTCTATCTAAGGGTAGAGTTCCCGCTTTGTTTCCTTGTTTGGCATGGTTCTTTACAGGAGGACAAAGTCTTGTCCTGAATCCTACCCTATCAGCTGGGCAGGGTGCTCACAGTTCACCTAGCTCCAGTATTCCCTTCATTTGGTGCCTGGACTAAGCCCCTGGGACCCTCTGATCTTTGAGTGGATCTCCCAGAATGTCACTGCGCCTGTATAAGTTGAAGGGTTAAACTTGTCTGGGAGTGTCCAGTATGGGCCCACCCAATGCCTTGTTCCCTCAGTGATATTAATGACTGGGTGGATTGCTGGGCAGCGGGTGAACCTCCCTGGTACCATCCTCTGTAGCCTTAGTGAATGATTAATGCCTACCTTAGGAACCATGTGAACCACTTTTCAGTCTACAAAAGAATCAATTCTGATGATTTATGAAGTTGAAAACAAAAATAAAACCCACCACCACTGAGTCGATTCTGACTCACAATGAACCTATCTATATGGAAGTGGCTGCTGGGTTGAAATTCCAATTTCAACTTTGCAATTAGCAGTCTGAAGGTCACTTGGCAAAACCACCAGTAAGGTATAATTATTTCCTATTACATAAATACAAGCAAGACAAACTAAACACTCAGTACTCCGGAGAAAATGAAGGCTATACCATCGATATTCCTTAAGTATTTACAAAATACCAACAGCAGTTTGTCAGACTTTGTTTGCTTGTGTGGTGCTGTGATGCTCGAAACAACGTTACTGGTGCTTCCTATGCCAGCAGGGTCACCAGAACAGAACCAGTGTCAGTAGGGCTTCTAAACTAAGAACCCACTCTAAAGGAGGACTCAGCTGTCCACTTGGGAGGAAGTAGTCACTGAAAGTCGTAGGCAGAGCACTGCCACATACTGAGGTCAAATACTGAAGAAAAGCAACACTGTCAGAGACAGTGCAAGCATATGAGCCCCTTGTGTCAGAAAGCACTCGAAATAATACTTAGGAAGAACTGCCTTCTCAAAGCAGGGATGACCATCCTGACATGATGGAGTAAAGCCTGTGGGAGTAAAGCCTTCAGGACCTGCGCTGGCGGCTGGGGCACAACTCAAAACAGAAAGGAAGAGCTATAAAAATGTACTATTAATCAGAACATGGAATGGCTGAAATGTGAATCTTGGAAATTTTGGAGTCGTCAAAAATGAAATGATCAGTGTCCTACGTGTTCGTGAACTGAAATGAACTAGGATTGAACATTTTGAATCAGAAAGTTGTATATATTGTGTGGAAGTGACACGGTCAAGAGGCATGGCGTGGCAGTCATAGTTGAAAAGGACATTTCGTCTATCTTGAAGTACAATGCTGTCTGTGACAGGACAATGTCTATCTGCATTCAAGGAAATCCACTCAATGCAAATATTATTCTAATTTATGTACCAACACAACCTATTGATGAAGAAATTGAACAATTCTACCTGTGTCTTCAGTCTTAAATTTATCAAGCATACAAACAAGATGTTTTGATTATTACTTGCAATTGGAATGCAAAAGTTGGAAACAATGGAGGATCAGTGGTTAAAATATAATTCAAGAAGGTGGGTTTTTTGAACAATAATATGGCATCTAGATTGGAGGAAATATAAAACATCTGTGATATGTAAATGATGCAACCTTGCTTGTTGAAAATGAAAAAGGACTTGAAGAACTTTTGCTGAATCACAGAATACAGCACTTATGATGAAGCTCCAAGAATACAGTGATGTAAAACAAAAGCCCCAAACTTCACGTAAAGAAAACCAAAATCAACTGGACCCGTAGATATAATGATAAATGGAAAACAGATTGACCTGGTCAAGAATTTCATTTAAGTTGGATTCACAATCGAGACACACAGAAGCAGCAGTCAAGAAACCAAATGACATATGTCATTGGGAAAATGTGCTGCGCAAAACCTCCTTCAAGAGCTAAAGATTAAAGATGTCTCATTGAACCTTAAGGTGCACTTGACTGAGCCATGGTAGGTTCAATTGCCTTCTATGCATGGAAAGGCTGGGCAATGAATAGGGAAGACTGAGGAAGAATCGATGCATTTGAATTATTACGTTGACAAAAATTGTTGGAAGTATCATGGACCGCCAGAAAAACAAGCGAATCTGTCTTGGAAGACATACAACCGGAACCCTCCTTAGAAGTGAGGATGGTTCATCTCAGATGCTTTGGCCATGTTATCAAGAGAGGCCAGTCCCAGGAAAAGGGACAGACATCATATTTGGCATCATGAGAACCACTGAAAAGAAAAAGACTCTTGAGATGGCTTGACACAGCGTTGCAACAATGGGCTCAAGCATACCAATTGTGAAGATGGCACAGGACTGAGCAGCATGTCATATTTTGTACTTGGCATTGCTATGAGTCAGAGCCAACTGTAGGGCCCCTGACAACAACACCATATAAACCATGACTATAACAATGGAATGCACTTTGAATTCAAAATGAGACACTTGAGAGAGAAAGAGGAAACTATGAGTAATTAGATTATTACAATAATCATAAACCAAAGTGGGCAAAGCAGGTAGTATCAGCAATGTAGGTATTAATTAAATGTATAACACTGGCTAACACACATTTTGGTGCCTCACATGATAGGATTGTTTCTGGGCATATTTGACCTGCTGATCCCAAAAATGACACCAGTTACCCCCTATCAGCTCCAGTCTTTGAGATTCAGAACATGTGCCATACACCACTCTTCACTCTGCCCACTCATAAAAAAGCAGGATATTTTGATGGAGTGTTAGCTAGCCTGAGATAGAGGAAGGACACACTGGCTTTATTAAAAGTAGTTTGTGTTGTACTAAATATTTATGTCAATTTATGCTCCCCGTGGTGTCCTTTGATCCAAAGATATATTTGAATGGTGCAAATTATATCAATTTGGAATTTTCCCCAAGTGTCATTTCACCTTTATTAAGAACTGAATAGCAGTACGTTAGTTATCATAAAGAGGAGCCAGAAATGAGTTCCTGGACAATAAATAAGCACACCTGATAGCATAGTGGGCTATGTGTTTGACTACTAACCTCAAGGTCAGCTATTCCAGCTCACTGAGAAACGTGAGACTTTCTGCTCCCACAAAGATGTACAGCCTCAGAAACCCACAGGAGAAGTTCCACTCTGTCCTACAGGATCGCTATGGGTCATAATCAACTGACTGGCAGTGAAGTTGGTGTAATAAATAGAGATTCAAATGTTCTGAAACCCAAAATGGATCTGTCAGAGTTCAAGCTCCTTTAGTAAAATGAAAATGTCCCAGAATTGTTATAAATGCCCCAATATATCCACCTGTGAAGAGAAACTCTTAAATGAAAAGTTAGAATTTTTATTCTAAAGAACCCTGGAGTCATCCTCAGCTCTAAAAATTGAACTTGAATTATCCATTGACTTTTGTCTACTAAAATATGTTCTATCTGCACCCTCAGGGAATCATTACACCCATTACAATTCCTGAAGGGTTCATCTATCACAAAGAGAGTCAGGGGGAGGGGCAACTCCACTTGAGAGGAACGAATAACAGAATGGCAGTTGAACAGATACATTTGGGTGGTGTAAGATATGGGATAAAAAGGAATAACAATAATAATGATATTTAATATAATAACAAGGGTTCTTGGGGGATAGGGGAGGAGAGGTTGGGGATAAAGAAGAGCTGACACCACAGAGTGCAAAAAGAAAAAAAATGTTTTGAAAATGATGGTGGCAACAATGTACAATCATTTTTGATCTAATTGAACTATGGATTATTATAATATCACTAGAGGTCCCAATAAAATGGAAAAAATAAGCAAAATGATGAACAAAAATGTTCTAAAATGTTTACTGCAAAATTTGAAGGATAAAAATGTAGATCTTCAAAATTTTGTGAAAATTGCTAGCAATTTTTATATTTTCAACACTCTAAATTGTCCTCACATCTTCCGTATATGTGCCTTTCTATTTCATTTTTGAGTGTGCCCTCTTCTCAAGCTGTGCTCTGGCTGTGCCCTATCCAACTGGTAGGCTCTGTACACATTGTACAGCCTTTCTTACCCAAAGAAAAAGTGTGGCCATCTCATTGATTCTAACTCACAGTGACCCTATAGCCACAGAAGAACTGCTCTTCGGGGTTTCCAAACCTTTGAACCTTTTGTAGGTTGCAGAGTGATTGGTGGGTTCAAACCACTGACCTTATGATTGACAGCTCAATGCATTACCACCTCGCCACCATTGGTCCATATCCAGCTTCCCTTGGACATCCCTGAACACCTAAATATTGTTTACCTTTTAAAGCTTATGCTGTAATCTGTGGGTCTGAATTCTTCTCATTTAAAGCTAGGATGTTAAGTTTGTAAATTAGTATAACTTGATAGTTGAAAATAGAGTGGAACACCTTATCTAAGAAACCAGAGCTCCTGTGGTCCATCCAATCCAATGTTATGAATCAGTGCCCCAAATACCCCAGGCACAGGTCTGAAAATGAAGTCACCGAGAAACACACTGGTTTTGTTGGGCTCTGTAATGATTGACCAAGTTCACATTCAACTAGCACCAAGCTTAAAAAGAGGAAAACCGTGCTGCCCTTTTGAAGTTTATGCATCTCCTTTTAGTGACTGTAAGGTAGGTAGATATAAATAGATAGGTTCTTAATATGTAAATATAATTATGTTTAATTATTAAGTTTCCACTGCTGAATTAAACTTGGGGTCTTACTTATTTTTGCCTTGATTTATGAAATAGAATTTACCTTTGTAAAGTAGAAATGTCGCTCATTTCAAAACTGGCGTTCAGCTTTCTTCTTGCGAGAGTGAAGGCTGTGAGGTGATCATAGCTAGGGGAGAAATACCAATTAGGAAGATTAACTGCGAGAACAGCAACTTTTCAGTAATATTATTATGCACTGATTTAAAAAGGAAGACACATTTCAATAAGCATAACCTTATGATTTAGACTTAGTTCCAGAATTCAGTGTAAACCTAAGAAATGAGTGGCTCTGCTCTCAGGATATGAGGTCTTTGGCTCTGAGCCTAGGAGTACGCAGTCCCCACTGAGGCGATCTGCGGCACTATCTTGTGACACAGGTGTTCCCTCTAGACTTCCGAGCAGAATACAAACAGCTGGATCAAAGCCCTCTCCACACTTCAGCTTGAATCTTCAGTTTCAGAGAGACTTAGATTCAAAGAGCAACGTAGCTGTGAATTACCCTAGTTAACTAGTCAGCATTTTCCTAAGTACCAGTGCTTGCCATTACAAATACTCTATACTGGAAAGCTACTACCATGGTAACCATCATCAGTTCTCTTATTAAACAAAGATCCCATCTTCATTCACATCTTCTCAGGTCCCATACTGTATTCATTTTACACCCTTGGCTCAAAATGGAAAGTGCCCAGCAGAGAATGGTATGTTACAGTGAGTGAATGGATGATAGATTAATGGATTACTGGATGTTTTAATATTGAAGTGAACTATTGGACCATTACCAGTAGGTTCCAGTGGATTCCTATGAATGGCATCATACAATTTCAGGAATAAAGCATTCACAAAGTAATAAATAGCTTACAAATCCGACTGGTGTATGATATGCTCTGGACATACTGGGTTTCTTTAAGGCAATCATGAATCATCATTCCTTATGGATTAATTTTTCTTACGAGGAAATTATTTCTATTTCTAAATATGCAAAATAATTAGTTAATTCTCAAACCTAATTAAAAAACACCAACAAAAATGAATGACTCAAACCTGTAATAAATTGTCAGTTTTATAGCTGGATAATAAAGACTTTCTAATTGGAATATATGTCTTATAGACCCAAAGATTCCTGAAGGTTGCCCAGAGCCTATGCAGAGACTTTTCTTGCATCATAAAATTCACCTTCACAACCCCCCCATGTGGTGAGGGAGTCAAGCACATGGTGGGAGGACAGAGGTTCCCATCACCTGGCTACAAACGACTCACTCCTAAAGAGGGTCAAGGCTTCTACAAGAATACAACCTACCACTCCAGAGCACTAGTGTCCATCTATTGATGCCTGCTTCTAATAGCTGTTTGCTAAATATCAATGACAGACTAGTCCCCATGGGAAGGGAGTGAGTGTGAAGAGCATTTATAGTGTCTAGAAGACCCTGTGTCTGTGAGGCTCCAGTAGAAGAGGAGAACAAAGACTTACAGACAAGAGGATTTTCAGAGACACTGGCAGGCATTTGGTGGTTCAGTGGTAGAATTCATGCCTTTCCTGTGGGAGATTTGAGTTTGTTTCCTGGCTAATGCTCATCATGTGACGTTGCCACCCATCTGAAGGAATGGGTTGTGTACTGCTAGCTAAAAGGGACAAGGAAAGTGGGCCCGGCTATTTGCTGCACTAATCTGTCAGTGAATATCAGAGAGGTGACAATCATGGGGATGTGTTTCACTTGGTTGAACAGGAGTCAGGGATAACTAGCTGGCAGCTAACACAACATATGTAACAAGAGACACACAAAGTTGGAGTTGTACAAATCAAGCCTGTTCATTTTCATTTTGATTGGAGAGTAAGATTCAGTAAAGGATCCAGGGATGGGCCAAATGCAAAAGGAAACATAATCACTGATTAAAAGCACATATTCTTTCTGAAGTATATGTCTATACCTGCAGTTAACCTTATCTGGAGAAGTTCCTGGTTGTGGGGGCAAGGTGTTAGATTTCCACCTTCTTTTATCCCAAAACAGGCACTGGAGCCACTGGAAATCCACTGTATAATTCACTGTGCTGGCTAAATATTTGTTTGAAGATGGTCTGTCGTAGCTAGCGTCCAATATGGCCAAATAACCTGAGGTGGAATCTAGAACAGAAAAAAAAAAGTTAACCTAAAATGGGCTAAGAGACATTTTCTATTTCAAAGCTGATACCTTTAGGATTAAGGTGTGCCTGAACCCTGGTAATGGAGTGTGCTATGCACTGAGCTGATAACCACAAGGTCAGTGGTTTGAACCTGCCAGTCGCTCTGAGGGAGAAAGATGAGGCTGTCTACTCGTGTAAAGATGTAAATTCTCAGAAACACAAAGAGACAGTTTTACCTTGTCCTATAAGGTAGGACCATGAGTTGGAAATGGCTTGATGGCAGTGAATTTGGGACCCAAGTTACAATATTTGCATTTGAAAGCTGTATGTTCATTCACGTGGAAGCTGGATAATGAATAAAGAAAACCGAGGAACAATTGATGTATTTGAATTGTGATGTCTGTGAATATTGAAAGCACCATGGACTACCAGAAGTATAAACAAATCTGTCTTAGAGGAAGTGTAGTTTATTTTGTAGAAACGAGGGCAGCAGGACTTGGTCTCATGTGCTGTTGATATGTTACCAGGTGAGACCAGATATGTCACCAGGTGAAACCAGTCTCGGGCAAAGGACATCCGGCTTGACGAAGTAGAGGGTCAGTGAAAGAGAGAAAGACACTCATCCAGATGGATCGGTGCAGCGACATCAATGGGCTCAAACATTTATAAGGATGTTGACGATGGTGAAATACTGGACGGTGTTTCCTTCTACTGTTCACAGGGTTTCATTGAGTTGGATTGGACTAAGCAGCACATAACAACATTTCAAATGCAGAGAGAATAGTAAACAGGATCAAAGTAGCACACAAGAACCAAGAATACGAGATGTAGGGGCGGGGGACGGGGGAAGAGATGTAAAGGACTGAAAGAACACAGAACTTTTGAATTTTGTCTACTTTTCCCCCCATAAACTTATAAATTTTGAATTAAATATATCTAGTCAAGGTTTTCATATGTATATTTGAAAATGACAAGGCATTTAGGAAGGAAAGTTTATTTCTAGTACTTCTTTGTGTGCAAACTTAGCCTCACCTAATAAAACAAAGCAAACTGCTGGCGTAAGTCAATTCTAAATTGTAGCCACCTTACAAACAAAACAAAAGAAAATCTCCCACAGCATCAAGTCTATGCCAACCCTTAGGAACCCTAAGGTTTCTGAGGCTGTAAAATTTTGGGAGCACAAAGCCTCATCTTTCTCACACAGGCTGGTGGACTTGAACGCTGAACCTTGCAGTTAGCAGTCCAACACATATCTAGCAGTGCCACCAGGATTACTTAGAGTGATAGAATAAAATGTCTCCACATAAGGTTCCCAAGGCCTTAATCTTTATGGAAACAGATTGCTACATCCTTCAGGCAGGATGCTTGAAGGTTCAACTTGTCAATCTTTTGGTTATCGACTGAGCATTTAACTACTGCACCATCAGGCCCCCTCTAGAGTGAGTTATATGTCCTGGTGCGATTACACAGCCTTGCCTGTGTGTACCATGACCAACATGTGAAAACAGAACTTTATCATGATGGAACCATCAGACAAATCCAGACTGCGAGACATTCCAACAATAACTGACTTGAACGCATGAAAAATGTTAATGTCATGAAAAAAGAGGAGGGTGGAAAATATGTTCTAGAGGCCAAGGGGACTACAAAGGTATGACAATTGAATATATTTTATAATTTTGAACTTCATTGGGAATAAAAATACAAAGGGATCTTGAACCCTTTTGGGGGAATATTTGCAAAAAACTAAATATGGAGTGCATACTATATGCTTTTCTTGGTACTGGTTGGTACTAGTTACATGGGAAAATGCCCTTGTTCTTATGAGACATATTTTGAAGTGTTCAGGAGTGAAGTGTCTGCAATTTTTCCTTAAATGGTTCAGCTCCACAAAAGACCACACACATACACACATACTGTGATAGATAAAGTAAATGTGGCCAAATGCATATAACTCATTTGTTGTATAGTTTTTGTACTTTTTTGTTAGTCTGATGTTTTTCAAGAAAAAAACGTTGTTAGAGAAAGAACATATCAAGCATATTTGCAATGAACATTTTTAATTTGATTAGCCCCAGTTGGACTTAATTTTTAAAAAAATAGGTAGCTATGAACGAATTCCTTTTCAGAAAAGGACACTTGATCCCAGTACAAAGGTGGGAGGTGGAGAATATAGGGCTGGTTCATCATCTATCCAATAGTCCAGAGCTCCATTTGGAGCATTTCTATGTAGTAGTCCTTGTTGAGTCACTTGGACCCTCGAGCTCCCAAGCCCTGCTTCTCAGAAAAGAGCCAAACCATCCTCACTGCCATTAAGTCAATTCTGATTCACCGTGACCCAATAGGACAGCATAGAACTGCCTCTGAGTGACCAAGAAACTGTAACTGTTTGGGGTGTAGAAAGCCCAGTCTTTCTCCCTTGGAAAGCCTGGTAGTTTTGAACTGCAGATCTTGTGGATTGCAGCCGAATGCATAACCCCTATGCCACGCTCTCAGGAGAGAACAGAGGCTTAGAAAACTTAAAAACCAGGGTCAGACTATTCGGAGCGCAAAAGTGGAATTAATGCACTGTCTGGCTCTTCACAACTTCTGTCCATTTATATGATGATGGTGAGGCAGAGTCAGAAGATGCATGGTCTCTGTATTTATACCTGAGATAAAGAAAGACTAGGAAGTGCAGGTCCTTGACTTCTAGTGGGATCAAAGACCATAACTCAGAGAGGTAAGTCCAAGAAGGGCAACTAAATGAACAGTGGGTCAGGGAGAGCCTGCCACAGGAGTTGAAAGTTGAGTTCAAGATTAGCAGAGGCACTTTGAAGAAAGGAAGAGGAGGGCACTAGAAAGAACAGTGCAGCAGCAGAAATACAGAAAATAGTTGAACATTCTGAGAAACACATGAGGGGATGATGGGAATTTGGGGAGATGGGAATGGAGGGGGCTATAAGGGCAGGCGCATTAGAGTTGGCCCGCATGAGTGGCGTTATTTGTCTTCAGCACCCACTTCAGTGAAAGGATTATACTACATTTTCTATTTGTTGTCTATTATTAAAACAATTTCTACATAAGCAAGCAAACGGGTCGTTTTGTTGTTTATATGCTGAATAAAGAAAAATACTGTTATGCAAACATGCTATAGCATATTTTCAGCAAATAAATAGATCTGAAAATTAAGAGATCTCTTTCTCACTCACCTTTCAATAGAACAGCAGGTATATATATCTGTATAATCTTCTCATCCCACAGGTACATCTGTTTCACCAGAAAATCAGAGGGAGTAGGCTTCTTGGAGGATCTAGAGAAAAATGATGTTGTGATATCTAGTTTGTGTTCTCAAAGACTTTAGTCACAATTTCATGAAAATCCTCATTTTGGCTGAAAGGCAACAGCCTAAGATTCACCAATATTCTTATTTTACTGTACTTCTTCTGTCTTCTAACAAAATTTTGATGTAACATTTTTCTTTCCTCCCCATTTCACAAAAAAACAGATTCTCAGTGAAAACAAAGACAGCTAAATTAGCAAAGCTTACGGGATTAAGAGGAACAGCCCAACCTCCTGTGGTTAAGGCAGCAGGACACGGCAACATATAAGTGTCTGTTTGTATTAATGGGTATATAAGTAAGCCATTTCTGATGCAAAACCAGGAATCTCACAACCATCAAGAAAGAAGAGCCACCAGTGCAGCATATGTGAGATCTTTGCCTCCAGGGTCTGAGTAGCAGGGACATCAGAAATCACAGGCCAAGATTATGGGATAGACCAAGAGCAGCTCCAAGGTCCTAAGAAAAGTGCCAAGACCATGAGGCAGAGCAGCAAATGGGCTTCCCCTTGAAGGGACCATGTGGTTGACAAGCCAAGGGCCAGAGACGCATGCCAGACAGCACGGCTGAGAAGAAGCACTCTGGACAAAGGTGTATCTCTGACACTTTGGCACTTGTTAGGTTCTAAATAAGCCCCCTTCACCATGGGTATTGTCTGTGAGTTTTGTGTGGCCATTTGAATGAATTATTGAGCCCAACAAAGAGGTAGAGTGCCATTGAAGGAATGGTTAGTTTGAGAATACGGTGATATAGGATAGTGGGTGAAGGCATGTGCAAGGTCTGGGCAGCTGTATAGTTGAATTTGTCACCTTTGGGACCCCATAGGAGATCTGATGTGGCCCTCCTGGCATTTAGTCAGGGTCTTGAACATCTAGAGTAGTCAATCCAGTATTCAGGTTTCATCAGTTTCCAGATTAAGAAGAGAGTAGGAAGAAATAATAGGCAATCCATTTCCAAGGGATCAATCACTTAAAACTTGATGAGTAGCAGTGGAACACTGTCTGATAGAGTGCTGAAATATGAGTCCCTCGGGTTAGAGGGTGCTCAAAATACAGCCCAAAGGAGAGTTGGCGTGAACGACATGGATGGAGCAAAGTTTGGGGGATCTGATACTGGCTCTTGAACGTAGACTAGCTAAAGCAAATGAAAGAATTAATGAAGTAAAAGAACTGAACAGAACATGTCAAAAGCCAGCTTGAGAAGACATAGCAGAGCATCATAGTGAAGTGTGTGAAGATTGGTGTTAGAAAACAGAAGGGAATAACATACTCATAATACCTTTATCTGAAAAAAATTCAAGCCTTGAGTTACAATACTGCAGGTGACTCTAGGAAAAAATATTGGACAATTCAGGAAGCACCAGAAGAAGATGGAAAGAACACATAGATTCTCTGCACCCATAAAGAACTGGTCAACATTCCACTATTTCAAGAGGTAGCATGTGATCCAGAGCTGATGGGATTAAAAGAATTCTGAGCCGAACTGAAGGTGTTATCATTAAAGAAGGCTCCAGTCATGGATAGAACATCAATTGAAATTTTTCCAGAAACTGATGCCCTACTGGAAGCACTCGTCTGTGCCAACTACCTGGAAGAGATGCATATTTATGCCCATTCCAGAGACAGGCGATCCAACAGAAAGGGGAGATTAATATCATTAATTTCATACGCAAGTAAAGTGTTGCTGACACTAATTTAAAAATTGATGCAGCAGCACGTTAATAAAGGTCTGCCAGAAATTTAAAGCAGATTTGTCCAAGAGCAGAACATATCAGAAAGAGGCTTATTTGTGTTTTCTTGACTATGCAAAGGCATTTGACTATATGCATCATAACAAACTACCAGTAGCATTTAGAAAAATGGGGATTCCAGAACAGAACAGGCCACTGAGCTCATGTGGAACCTGTATACAGATAAGAGACAGTTATTCAAGCAGATTTCATGATTTAAAATCAGGAAAGTTGCATCAGGATTGTATCCTTTCATCATATCCATTTCATGTCTATGCTGACCAAATAATCTAAAAATCTGGACTATATGAAGAAAAATGCTGCATAAGGATTAGAGGAAGACTCCTAAACAAACTGTAATACTCAAAGGAGACAACCTTGCTTGCTGAAAGCCAAAATGACAAGCAGTACTTTTTTTTTTTTTCTTTTAAAAAAATCATTTTATTTGGGGCTCATACAACTGTTATCCCAATCCATACACACATCAATTGTGTAAAGCGCATTTGTACATCGTTTCTCAAAACATTTTCTCTCCATTTAAACCCCCGACATTAGGTCCTCATTTTTCCCCTCCCTCCCCGCTCCCCCCTCCCGCATGAGCCCTTGATAGTTTATAAATGGTTATTTTGTCATATCTTGCCCTGTCCGACGTCTCCCTTCATCCACTTTTTGATTGTCTGTCCCCCAGGGAGGAGGTCACACACAGTTCCATGTAATCGGTTCCCTCTTTCCTACCCATTCTCCCTTTACCCACCCTGTTTTGCCACTCATACCACTGGTCCTATAGGGCTCATCCGTCCTGGATTCCCTGTATTTTCAGTTCCTATCTGTACCAGTATACCTCCTCTGGTCTAGCCAGTCTTGCAAGATAGAATTCGAGTCATGGTAGTGGGAGCGGGGAGGAAACCTTTAGGAACTAGAGGAAGGTTGTATTTCTCATCATTGTTACATCGCACCCTGACTGGCTCATCTCCTCCCCGAGACCCCTCTGCAAGGGGATCTCCAAGCAGTACTTATTAATGGAGGTAAAAACACAGCCTTCAGAATGCCTTGCAACTCAATATAAATACAACAAAAATCCTCACAACTAAGTCAATAAACAACATCATGATACATGGAGAAAAGACTAAAGTTGGCAAGGATTTCATTTACTTGGATCCACAATCAAATCCACACTAATGGCCACTATCATCCAACCACATACCTTACTAGCAACATTATGGGAAAGGCTCTTGTGATAGTCTTCACAAATTGGATTCTTATCTGTAGAGATTCCTGGGAGTTTTCCGAGTGCCCGATGAACTGATGAAAATTCACTTTGTCCCGAGGCAATACAAACGCAGTTTCATTTCTCCGTTTCCCCTGTCATCAAAGGGAAACAGGCTAAGCGTGTGTGTTAACAATCAGCTGGGCCACCTCACTGAAGCAGAGACGACTCGGGGCTCTCCTTACCAGGTCATCTTCCTCCTTGAACTCAACGGTCACAGGCATCGGCAGCCACCGTCTGCTGCAGGGCCTTCTGCTAGAGCAGTTGTAGAGACGGACATCCACCGTCCCAGCAAGCTATGGAGCAAAGACCATCTCAGAGCAAATGAAGACAAATGATTGAGAAAGCCCAACACCTGATCATAGTGATATACACTGTCAAAATTATACAAAAGTTCTGCATTTTTACTGAAGCAAAGTGTGACGAAACCAATAGATCATATCATGATAAATGGAGAAAAAATCGAAGTTGCCAAGGATTTCATCTGGCCTGGATCTACAATCAGTGCTCACAGAAGCAGCAGTCCAGAGATCAAATGGTACATTATCTTGGGTCAATCTGCTGCACATGACCTCTTTGAAGTGTTAAAGATAAACACTGAGGAGTAAGGTGTACCTGACCAAGCCCTGGTCTGCTCCCTTGCCTCATATGCATGTGAAAAGTAGACATTAAATAAGGAAGAATCGATGCATTTGAATTATGGTTTGAGCAAAGAATATTGCAAGTACCACAGACTAACAGAACAAGCAAATCTGACTTTTAGGAAATATAATCAGAATGCTCCTTAGAAAGGAAAGGTGGTGAAATTTAGTCCCCTTCGGACCTGTTATTGGGAAAGACTAGTCCCTGGACAGAGACATCAAGTTCAGGCTCCAGTGGCCTTCCTTGGTGATTCAGCCTGGCCTTTCAAGTTAATGTGGAAGAGAACAGCCCACAGTAATGCCCCACATTCCTAGCCCCACTTCTCAAGTTTCGCTCAATTTGAATTTTTCATGGGCTTTCAGAAATGAGTCAATATGTGCCAGAGATTATTGATCCTACTAGTTGGCGCAATCTTATCCCCTACACCAACGTGTTTCCACTGCTTACTCCGTGACAACGGCATGAAACTCCCTGCCATCGAGTCAATGTCATCTCCTCACAGCCACATAGGGTGGGGTAGAACTGCCCCGGTGACTTTCCGAGACAGTCACTATTTATGGGAGTAGAAAGCACATCTTTCTCTCCTAGACTTAAAAAGTCCCTGGGAAATTCTGAGTGGTTCCTCTCACTGAGCTACCAGTGATGACCAATTTTGATGGAATTATCTGGAGAAGCCATAAACTTTCAGGATAAATATAGACAGCAAAACATCCTACATGACACCTCTCTTGAAATTTAAAAAAAAGGCACAAAGTACAAACCTACCAACCTATTCTCTTTATTGTTCATCAGAACTTATTGCAAACAAACAGCAACAACAAAAAACTTACTGCAAAATTGAAATGGTTATCAGAAGTGACAGGCCACCTGCCACATAGTACCTGACCAGGAGCCTGTCCCCCTGGATAGGAATTCAGTTTGAAGAGTATGGTCTGACTAATGTAGCATGGGTTCTGAATGCCGGCTCCAGCAGGATGCTGCCCAGCTCCTTCCCTGGGTAAGTGAACCTGGACAGAGCCCATGCTCTGGACGGTCTTCTGAAGGCTGTCATGAAAGCAGGCCTGGAATTCCATCTCTTCCGTGCCAATGTGGAGCTGAAGCTTGCCGCTCATAAAGAGAGAGTTCTGAAACAAAGAACGTGGGAGATTCAAGTGGTTGTAAAATAAACAAATCAACTGTCTTAACTCCAGACCAGGAAGGTGAAGTTAATTGAAAATAAATTGGTTTCAAGTGAATTTGTATTCATTTGACTAAGCAAAGGTTTGGGTACAGGATACAATGGAGAATGACTGTCGAATGCAAAGGGATTTCTTTTGTTGTGGTGTCCTCCATAAATTGTGCCGATCTGCAATGTTGTTGTCACGTGTCATCGAGTTGGTTGCGACCCTACGTAGAACAGATTGAAACACTGCCTGGTCCTGAACCATCCTCACAGTCCTTCCTACGTTTGAGCCCAATGTTGCACCCACTGTGTCAATAAATCTTGTAGAAGGTCGCTTTTTCCCTGCTGATCCTGTGCTCACCAAGCATGCTGTCGTTCTCCGGGCACTAGTCGCTCCTGGTAGCATGCGCAAAGTTTGTGATGCAAAGCCTTCCCAGTCTTGCTTCTGAAGAGGATTCTGGCTGTACTTCTTCCAAGACAAATGTGTTTGTCCTTTTGGCAGTCCTTGGTACTTACGATATTTTTTGCCAGCTCTGCGATTCCAACATAGGTCTTCCTTTTTCAATTCCCAACTTTCACATGCATCTGAGGCCGTTGGAAAGATCATGGCCTGGGTCAGGTGCACCCTAGATTACATCTCTGATACTCAACACTTTAGAGAAGTGTCCTGCAACAGATTTACACAATGCAACCCACCATTTGATCTCCTGACTGCTGCTTCCATGAGCATTGATTGTAGATCCCAGCAGGGTGAAATCCTTGACAATATCAACTCTTTCTCCAGATGTAAGCATTTTTGTTTTCTTTACATTGAGTAGTAACCCATAGTGGAGGCTATAAGCCTTGATCTTCATCAGCAGATCCTTCAAGTTCTCTTTATTTTCAGCTTTATCACAGGTTGTGTATAAGACTTCTGGTGAATTATTTAATATGCCTCTTCCAGCCAAAGTCTCGAACTCCACCAAAAGATGTTTTGCTGCATGGGTCTGGTAAGAAACTGGAGGAAGATACTGATAGGGTTCACCTGTGAGAATAATTGCAATAGGATTCCCTGGGGTGCCACCCCGACATGTATAAAATGAATCCTCTGGGATTCCGGAAGAGGGAAACTCCTTGCCAGAAAAATCCAAGACCCATCCTCTAGACCATGGTTCTGGTGCAGTGAACCTCCTGGATCCAGATGATGGTATACCATCGGATGAGCAGCAACAGAACTAGAGGCCAGAGCATAGAACAGACTGGTGGACCTCTCAACCCACTGAGAAACTTGAGATAAGTGCTTTGTGTGCAGAAGGCTACCTCTAGGCACCTATTTGGGGCAGTTGTACTTGCTGACCCATGGTAGTGGAGGGGAGTGACTTCAGACAGAGGCTTCCTGGATTGGATACCTCAGGGCACTTAATTCAGGAAGTTGGACTTTTTGATCCATGGAAGAGGAGATGAATGCCTATGGGTTAAAACTCACTGGAGTGGGTGCCTCTGGGCACGTAACACAGGGAGCTGAGTTTGCTGACCCAAGGAGTTGAAGTTGAATGCATTCTGGTTCAGCCTTCTAGCAGAGTGGTATAACCCTTTGAGCATTAATTAGCATACCTGAGATTTTGTAATATGTCTGGTAAACAACTACCGTGGACATTTCTCAGTGGCTTTACAATTTAACTTCCTTATAAACTATTTAATCATGAATTTTGTCAGTGAGTTTCTGTGTTGCCATTGCAATGGATATTAGAAAGTAGAGAAGCGAAACAGTGAACACTAATTAAATTAACGTATCTACTAGTCCTGGTATCACATTCTTCTTCCTATAACCCAGCTTCTTAGCTTAGCTGCTTAGAGAATGAATAAATATGGTGTAAGGATACAACTCTGACACATACCTTTCTTGTCTTTAAACTGTGAAGTATTCCCCTATTCTGTTTTCACAACTGCTTTATGATCCTATACATGTTCCACATGTGCCCAATGAAGTGTTCTGGAAGTCCCATTCTTCCCAAAGTTATACATAGTCCGTTATGGTCCATACAGTTGAATACTCTTGCATAGTCAACAAAACACAAGTAAACTTCTTTCTTGTATTTTGTCCTTTCAGTCAAAAATCCATCTGACATCAGTAATATCACTTGTTCCACATCCTTTTCTGAATCCAACCTACATCTTTAGAAGCTTTCTGTCAATGTACTGCTGCAACTGTTGCTGGATGATCTTCAGCAAAATTTGATTTCTAAAGTATGAATTTGTAATTATGATTGTTATGATGAAATTCAGATATGTTCCTAATTTATTTTTTAATATCCACAATATTACCAAGAATATCAGCTAAATAAGCCAGCAGGTACAATTGGAGTGATGATAAATGGCTAGGCAAGCAATCATAAAAGCAAGGTATACTAACGTACTGCCTTTTGAACACATAAGTCATTTCATGACATGGGGTTGGGAGGGATATTATTCCAAGACCCCAAAAAGACCTGTACAATGAAAAAATTTCCCATGTTAATGGATTGTGGAACTGTCAATACTACCTAAAGCAATCTACAAATACAATGCAATTCTGATCCAAATCCCAATGCCATTCTTTAAAGAAATGAAAATTAATAAACAAATTAATACAGAGCTGGCAGCAGGCCAGGGTAAACAAAGAACTTCTCAAAAAGAAGAGCAAAGTAAGAGGTGCAGCCCTACGTGATATCAAAGTGATGGCACAGCTACAGTATTCAAAATGGCCAGGTATTGGCTTAATGATACATACATAGAACAATGGAGCAGATCGAAAATCAAGATATAAAAGCATCCACTTGCATACAAGTGATTTTCAGCAACAGACCAAAAAATATTAAATGGAAAAGAGACAGTCTCTTCAACAAATGGTCCCAGAGAAATGCGATCTCCACCCGCAGGAGAATGAAGCAGGAGCCTGCCTCACACATGCACAAACATGAACTGAAAATGGAAAAGAGGACTAAAGGTAAACCCTAGAACCGTCAGGGTCACCGGTGAGAAAGCTGGGAGAAACAGAAAGGCTCTGTTGCCTGGCTTACATGGACTACCAAGTATAATAAAGGAATGGGATATCTGGCCAGCAAAAATTGGGTATATTCCCAGGAAAAAATGGAATTGCCATCTCCAGAAGAATGACACAGGACCCATACCCCAGGCCTGCACAAAAACAAACACAAAATGAATTAGAGACCTAACTGTAAACCCCAGAACTATCTTTTGTGTGACGATTATACATTTTATTATTATTATTTGTTGTTTTGTGCCCTGCTACTTTGCCAAACCTCTCAATTGTTTTGAGTGTAATAAAAGAAAAGAAAATAGATGACTGGGACATTTAAAAAGAAAAAGCACTTAGGCATATCATAAGAGTTTGCAGATTGGGGCAAAAAAGTCTTTAACAATGACAATTCCATAGAATTCTGCAACATCTCAATACAAAAAAAGCAACCCACCTAAAATGTGTGCAAAGGACATGAATAGACCATTCAAAAGGAATGACACTTGAATGGCTAACAAATGCAGGAGTAAATGCTCATGAAGCCTGTAAACACGTACAACCAACATCCAGGAGATATAAATCAAAACAATGAGACCCACAATGAAAGCCCAATTCAAAAATAAAAAGAAGAAAGAAAATCAGAGGAAAATAAATGCTGGAGAAGGTGCTGAAAGATTGGAAATCTTATATGCTGCTGGTAAGCCTGTAAACATGTACAACCAGCAATATGTCTGCTGGGTTTATGTCCCAAAGATGGGACAGAACACAAACATATATGCCTTTTCCTATGTTCATGGAAGCACAGTTCACAAGGGTAAGAGGGTGGAAACAGCCTTAATGCCAATCAGTAGAAGAATGGATACAGAAACTCTGGTACATGCACACAATGGAATATTATACATGCTTAAAAAATGATGAAACCATGAAACAACTCATGACAGGGATAGATATGGAAACCATTATGCTGAAGTCAATTGCCAAAGGACAAATATTGTATGAGCCCACTATTATAAGTATAAACACCAAGATAAAGGCAGGCTTCATGTAATCTTCCAATCTGGTCACCAAGCAATAAGGTAGAGAGAACCTACCTAGCATCCATGAGCCATATATCACCCCCTCTATATTTATAAGGTTTTAAGCAAAATGCTTCCCGGTTCGGCACCCTCCTCATAATTGTGCCTGTGCCTGAGCCCAGTGTTGCAGCCACAGTGTCATTCCATCTCCTTGAGGGCCTGCCTCTTTTTTGCTGTCCCTCTGCTTTACCAAACAGGATGTCCCTCTCCAGGGACTGGTCTTTTCTGACAATACTTCCGAAGTTATAAGGCAATATCCTGCTATCCTTGCTTCTAAGGAACACTCTGGCTGTATTTCTTTCAAGGCAGATGAATTTGCCCTTTTAGCAGCCCATGGTCCTTTCCATGTTCTTCTCCAGCCCCACAGTCCAAGTCATTGATTCTTCTTTGGTCTTCCTTCTCTGATGTCCAACTTTCACATGCACAGGAGGTCATTGAACGTTCCATGGCACTGGTCAAGCACATCTTAGTCCTTAAAGTAACATCTTTGCATTTCAATACTCTAAAGAGGTCTTGTGCAGCAGATTTGCTTAATGCAGTGCATCCTTTGATGGCTTTACTGCTACTTCAATTTGCATTGATGGTGGATCCAAATAAGATAAAACTTTGGCAACTTCTATCTTTTCTCCACTCATCATGATGTTACCCATTGGTCCAGTTGTGAGGATTCAGGTCTTCATCACGTTGGGTCATAATCCATACTGAACGCTAAAATCCTGGATCTTCATCACTTTCAGCCAGCAAAGTTGTGTCATCTGCATAGCGAAGGTTGTTAATAAATTGTCCTCTAATCCGGATGCCACATTCTTCTTCATACAATCCCACTTCTCAGGTAATTTGCTCAGCATACAGATTGGATAAGTATAGTGAGGGGATAGCACCCTTTTGCATAACTTTCCTAATTTTAAATCATGTTCTGTTTGTACACTTGCTGTATTCTCTTGTTCTGTTTGTACACCTGCCTCTTGATCCATGTACAAGTGCTCTGGAATTCCTATTCTCAAGGTTATCCATATTTTATTATGATCCACACAGCAGAATGCCTTTGCCTAGTCAATTAAAACACAAGAAAACATCTTTCTGGTATACTATCCATTGAGATAAGATCCACCTGATATCAGCAATGATATTCCTTGTGCCACATTTTAATGTTTGCCTTGCTTTATCATGATATGTATTAATCTGATAGGTGTGATTCTGCTTTTGCTAATTATTACTATTGAAAATTTTGGCCTCTCATCAGCCCTCACTGTTTGTGGAAAGAGTACCCAGTCATGTAAGTGTTTGATCTGTAAAGTCAACAATTTATGTAATGTGGTTTGTAGTAGGTCTGCATTTGTATAATGTTCATTACCCAACAGTGTTTTAAATTCTATACCATTGGCTAAATGAATCAATAGAATTACCTTACTCCCCAGAGAGGTGATTTATAATGTTGTCTAATATAAAATATAAAATGACAACGATATCCCTAAGGGGAACCAGAGACATATATAACCAATAGATATATGAATGGATTTGGGGCTCACACTTGATTCTAGCACCAATTTAAGAACAACAAGCTCTACAGCATGCATCGGAGAGATGATAGAAAATCAAGGGGATCGACCTGATTTGTATGGTTACAATCTTGTCATTTTATCCCCTTTCTGATGCAGGTTAGGCCTGATCTGGCTTTCAACATTTTCTTTATTTATGTACTGCATATACTCAAGTATAAGCCAACCCGAATATCAGCTGAGGCACCTAATTTTACAAGAGCTATAAACAAATGTGCTGAAAACTCGGCTTTATTTTTTGTTTGTTCATATTGGGGTTTATCTCAGATGTGTTATGTCATTGGAGGTCTTCCTCTTGAAATTTTTATTATATATATATTTTTGTTTTCCAGTATGTGAAACCCAGAACTGATGAATCTATAGGTACAGCAAGTAGAATAAGAGTTTCTGGGGCATGGGGCTGGGGTACAGTGGTTGTTGCAGTGGGGGGTGGGGGGATCAGGGGAAAAGGGAGTTGATGTCAAGGAATTCAGGAAGGAAAAGAATGTTTTGAAATTGCTTGTGGTAGCAATTGTACAATAGTGCCTGATGTGATCAAACTATGGAATGATATGATAGCTGTATTAATTCCCAATTAAATGGATAAAAAAGAACAATTAATTCTTATGACATGGTGTTGCTCTTATTCCCACTCTCATAAAGAGATCACTGAAGCTATGGGTGCTATAGAAAAATGTGCTGAAGAAACTGGATGGTGTCTGCCTATCAGAAAGAATACCACTACAGTCTTAAGAGCTTATCTTCCAACAAGCACCCTTCTAAGTGATGCTTCAACTAAGTCCACACAGCAGAAACACACCAGCTTGTGTGATACAAGGATTGTAAATATTAAAACCCAA